GACATTTTCCGTGAGATTAATTATATGCGCCACATAAGGTAGTATAATTGGACAACACATTTTTAACATTTCAACACTAATTCCGTCTGTTCCACTGGCTGTTGACGATATAGAATTAATAACAGCTAAAAGTTCTGCAGGTTGAATTGTCTTAAAAGAGAATTCTGACGATACATGACTGTTATGAGTAATATCCCTAACACTATCTAAAAAGAAATTATTAATTTCTTCGACATTTTGTAACTCATGTGGCAACGAACCACCTTTACTTTTATTGATATTCAACCTTTTCAAACTATTCCATATGAATTTTTTATTTTGCTGGCTACTAACATACAAAAAATATGCTCTCTTTTCATTTCTTATTGCTGTGGTAGTATAATTACGCATTGACTTATAATAACTCCAATTGACTTGTGTATTGTCACGTTTAAACTGTGCTTTAGCCTGGTCACGCAACCGCATTAATAGTTTTACATTATCAGTTAACCAGTATGATTGCAAAGTTTGGGTGCAGATGTGAAGCATTCTGCGCATAGCCAGTGCTTACTGAACTTTGTCCGCAGGTGCGGACGCGGTTCGGTACTGGTGATCATTTTTTGGGTTCCTCCCATAGATCTCCTAGTTGGTGAAAGGAAAACGATCTATGACTCCCAAACTACTGGAGGGCCAACTGATGCGTAAAAACCAAGCACAAACGAGCACCTATGAGACATGGCAAGCCTTACGGAGCGATAAACACCAGGGTAGGTGGACGGTGAAACTCGTCCATAACATAAAGGACTGGTGCGAGAAAAAGTACGGTGAGTTTTGATGGACCATGGCTACTTCCGAAGCTACATATGGAAATTCGGCAAAGAAGACTACCCTTCATGCCCCTATTATTATAGATGCCAGAGTGGATGGACTGCCGATGATTGGACCGATAACACCAGAAATTATTGTGAACCGTATGATGGCCGAGGAGAGATATTAGTCAAAAATAAGTGCATTTGTGACCGAGGTACTGATCTAGAAGAAAAAGGAAATGGACGCATTTCACAGGTAGTAGGAAGAAGACCACGGAGGGATACCCTTACGGGTTCAAGGGTCCCCTCCGCCCCCTATAAGTTAGGATATTTTTATAATGAATTAAAAAAATAATCTTTTTATTTTTATGTGATTTTAAACTTACGCAAATGAGAGATGATACCTATTGGGTCAATAATGCCTACTTACTTGACAGGAAGCTTGAAGAAGATACCGAAGGGGTACCCCTACTGGTGCAAGGGCCCCTTCCGCGTCCTATAAGTCAAGCTGTTCTCATAGTGAATTAAAATAGTTAATTTTTGCTTCTGTCTGATTTTAAACCTACCTAAATGAGAGACGATGCCTGCTGGGTGCGAAATACCTGTCCACTCAACTGGAGGCTGGAACAATAATAATTAAAAGGAATTACAGAATAAATTCTGACCCAAAAAGGATCGAGTCAGTCTTACCATTAAGTAACACTGTTTTTCATCGATCCTTTTTAACGAGAGAAAAACAAATAGCAAATGTGTAATGAATAAAAAAAAAATCGAAGAGAAAAAACAAAAGAATAGTTGTTTATGACAACTATTCCCCGACAAAATATTTGAAAAGGTCAACCCGCTGCCGTCACCTGCCGAGCCAGCAAGTGCTCCTTAAGTTTACGCCTGAAACGCTGCTCACTCCCCAACTTAATTTTATTTGGGATTGAATTATAAACACTAGACACAACATAAGAGGATCTTTTAAAAATTGCTAAACGATGTTTAGGTATCGTTAAAGTATGCCTGTGTCTAATGTTTAAGTTGTGGACATCCGTTCTAAACGTAATTTTATTATAAAGATAAGGAAGAGATTTATGCATAATAATTTTATGAAATAAACATGCGGAATGTAACTCCCCACGACGCGACATACTCAACCAACCAATCCACCCCAAAGTATGCGATATTCTCTCGCACCTTCTTATGCCAAATATGAAACGAAGACACGCATTTTGAACCCGCTGAATTCGGCGAATATCATCAGCATCGATGCATGAATTGTAAAGTGCATCGCCAAAATTGAAAATAGAGAGCACTAGTGCTTCACATAAGTGAGCTCTAAGTCGGTGGTGTAGCATATGTCGATTGTTATAAAGCAGTTTCAAAGTGCAATATGCCGAGTTAACAAGCCTACTAATATGTTTTTTGAACCTCAGACGAGAGTCCATAATAACACCAAGATTGCAAGTTTCAGAGGAAGTCGGTAGTCTAGCGCCTTGCAGAACCAGATGAAAATTGTTTGACAAAGGTAAGTCATCCATCAATCTGCCACCGCTGGGCCCAAAAATAATCACTGAGGATTTGGAAGGGTTAATCATTAGACAGAGCCGAGAAGCATAAACTGCTAAATTGTCCAAGTCAGTATTTATCCTATCCACTGCGATATTCACTTCATCAGATTTAAAGTTATAATATATTTGAGTATCGTCAGCGTACGATAATCACAATATTTTAAACAGGAGCAAAGCTGAAACGTATAAATCAGGTACAATAAATTCCCGAGAACAGAACCCTGAGGTACACCCGACACAACACTCAAAAAATCTGATGTTTTTCTACTATGCTCTTCTGCTCTTATATGCATAAATATCAATCAAATACGAAGTGGTGAAAATTAGCCGGACTTATAGCAAATTCTCTTCTTGCCTCAACTTTTTTTTACGCTGATCTCTTTTCTATATTATTCTTCTTATCTCTGTCTGCGCTTCGATCTTTCCTTCTCGTAGTAATTAATTCTCTTTTCTTTCCGCTTGACCGCGTCATCTTACATATTTCCTTCGAATGTCTTTACCTGGCAATAAATCGGTAACAAAAACGGGAATACAAGACGGAAAATCGGAACCATTTGTTATGCATGTGGAAAGAAAAGTCACATATGCGAAGCTGTAATAAATTATGTCCTTGGTATTAGAATATTTAAAAATAATAAAAATACCATTATTGATTCAAGATCAATTACCATAATGTAATTTTTAAATATGTTTTCTTAATGATGTGCACGAGCTTCTTCGTTCGATTCAGTTAATATAGTTCAGCAGCATTTAAAATGTCGAAAACACTCGGGTTTTACATTCTTGAAAAAAGTTTTCGTAATTATCAGTGTTGGCCAACCGCAGATGGATTTCGAGGAACCAAACCTATTATTTTGCTGATGGTGAATGTAATTTGGTTAATTTATCCACTAATAACAGATATTTTAAGTACGTTTTATTTAAATATATTGATAAGAAGCAGACATCTTAATCATTTCTATTTTATGATTTCAGATTATAAAACTAATTTTGAAAAATGTTTATTTACTATGGAATTTACTTCAATGGGATTATTACTTATTTGTTTAAACATTCAGATAGTGCGGTATCGTCTAGAGTTATTTGAAATGATTACCCTATTGAGCGATTTTAAACAATTCGTTTTTCCGCAAAGACCTATATTTGTTGAAAGAAATATGAAAATTATATTAAAAATATTTCGTTATCTACCATTTTTCTTAATCCGTTTTATGTCATACTATGCCATTTCAGTGCATAATTGTTCAAAGTTCAAAAATACTGCACACTGCTTAGTGTTTGAATATTACGTACCATTTAATTTAAAGTGGTGGCAAATAATATTAATTGTATTATTTCAAATATGGTCTATGGAATTTGTCATGAATGTGTTACTACATATATTGTTGTCGTATTGGTATTCGATGGAATTGTTAGTTGTACGTTTAAGAAATCTTAATAATATTATTGCTGATATAAATTTGGACAGAAATAAGAAAAGAAATTTTAAAATTTTACAATATATCGTCTTGTCCCATGAAGATATATTCAGGTATTGAAAATGTTTGTTTGTTTAGATATTTTATAAAAAATTTTGGACTTTTAGGAAGTTTCAAGTGGTTAAAAAATTTTTTATTGAGTTTCTTGTACCTACAAAATTTTTGATTCTAATTTCTTTAACAATGTCGACTACTGACTTCGTTCTGGTAAGAATGTTCTATTAAATTATTATCGCATATTAATAATTGATGTAATTTTAGAGACAAAATTTATTAAGTCTATCGATGGCCTTAACTAACTTTTTAGTTTTGTTTCTAATACATACAATTGGACAACGATTTACTACTGCGGTATGAATAAAAATTACATAATTAAATTTGATAATTGTATTGATATAAACTAGAACTAATAGTAAACCTAGAACTAGAATCTTTCGCGTTAAGCCGTGCGTCTTCTGAAGAAAGTGGTTAACGCTTCAGATCCCATGTTGCAACCTTTTTGTTGGTGGAGAAGTCTTTGTCGAAATTACCAGCACTTTTCATATGCGTGTATCCCTTTTTGTGGCAATGCTCTGCAAATGCAGTCGGACATCCCTCTCATGCTCCTTGATGTGGCACTCGATGTAACGTCCACTTTGGGCAACGTAATATTTCCCACAAGTGCATGATAAAAATGAATGAATGGTTTAGGAGAGTCAAACAGTCAGAACAGCACTGGATGACTCATCTCGGATGTGTCTGTGAAAAAGATTGAGAGGAATGGGAGGAAGCGTGGAGGGTTTATGGGGAATAGGTAGAGGAGTGTAGGGTGTGTTATTCTAGAGCAGTGTTTCCCAAACTGTGGTACGCGTACCACCAGGGGTACAGGAACAGTTTGATGGGGGTACACGTTGCATTGAACTTTTCCTACGCCTGGTGCAGCAAACTTTTAACTATTTTTTGATTAAACATTAAAAAAAATTCAAAATTTGTTATTCCTGTATATATGTTACTTTTTGGCGGCGTGATTCCCCGGGCATTCAAGTAAAAATCTTCAGTCGCTATTGAACTGATATCGCGTGTGTCTCCTTTTAGCTTTCGGTGCGATTTTTCTAATTGCATTACTTTTTAGGTGCTTTCTTTAGTAAGTTTTATTGTTTTTTATTTATTTTTATAAAATATAATGTGTATATCTAATAATGAAGATTATGGATCGCTGGTTGCAACCCGGATGTTCTAAATGCAAAGTAAACGAAATTGAACGAACAGCAACTCATGAAATTATCGAAGACGAAACTTCTTCAAAACCGGTTAACAAAAAAGCAAGGAAGGCTCGAAAATACGACAAAGAATACCTTAAATTGGGCTTCTCGTGGAGTGGTGATGAAAAGGAACCCATTCCACTTTGCGTAATTTATTTTGAAAACCTTACCAATGAAAGTATGAAACCATCGAACTTAAAGCGACATTTTGACGAAAGCACTTTGAATACAAAGATAAACCAATCGAATTTTTTGAATATANGGGCTTCTCGTGGAGTGGTGATGGAAAGGAACCCATTCCACTTTGCGTAATTTATTTTGAAAACCTTACCAATGAAAGTATGAAACCATCGAACTTAAAGCGACATTTTGACGAAAGCACTTTGAATACAAAGATAAACCAATCGAATTTTTTGAACTTAAACTCAAAGATTTAAATCAATCTCAAAAAGTAATGAGAGGTTTAACAGGAGGTGACAATCAAAAAATCACCCTAGTGTACCCTTGTCAAATAATACAGTTCATCGACGAATAATTGATATGACCAATAATGTGAAACAGATGTTATTGTCTGATATTTCTCAAAGTCGTTATTATGCATTACAAGTCGATGAGTCCACTGATATCATAACTTTTGCAAATCTTATGGCGTTTGTTAGATACGAAAAGAACCAAGAAATTCACGACGACTTTTTATTTTGCCAGCCTTTATTAGGTCATTGCAGCCTTTATCGGCATTAATAAAGGACTCATTGCAAAAATTCATTGTTGCATTCACAGAGAGGCTTTGGCAACACGTAAGATGCCTGCTGATCTGCAAAAAGTTCTTGATGAAAGCGTGAAAATCGTTAATTATATTACAGGTCGACCTTTAAACGCAAGACTTTTTGCACAAATGTGTGAAGAAATGGGAAGCAGCCATACCCAACTGCTTTTTCATACTGATGTACGTTGGCTATCTCGGGGAAAAATTTTAAGTCGATTATTTGAACTGAGACAAGAACTTTTTCGAGTTTTTCTTAATGATAAATTTGAACTGAAAAAGTGTCTACATGACTCAACGTGGCTATCCAAATTGGCATACTTAGCAGATATATTCTCTAGTTTAAATGGACTCAATTTATCATTACAAGGTAAAGATATTTCATTGTTTCATGTCCAGGACAAAGTAAACGCTTCAATTGAAAAATTAACGTTATGGAAAACTAGAGTTAATAATGGAGAGCTAGACTCGTTTCCCTCTCTTCATGAATTTGTAATAAAATCATCTGATAAAATTGATACGGATGTTCTGAAATGTTTAACAGAGCATTTGGACGGATTACAAGAGGGCCTGAAAAATTATTATCCGGATTTAACGACAAACCTCGAATGGATAAGACATCCGTTTAATATTGATTCATCTGCCATGCCAGATAATTTATCTAATGTGGAACAAGAACAGCTCTTGAAGTTATCTGCAGACGGATTTTTGAAAAATAAACATAAAGAGTGTTCTTTAGCATCTTTTTCGCTGCAAATGCAACAACTATATCCGAATTTAACAGAAAAAGTGTTAAAACATGTTTTGCCATTTCCAACATCATATCTATGTGAAGTTGCGTTTTCAGCATTAGTCGATATTAAGTCAAAAAAAAGAAACAGGATTTTGGATGTGGAGCCGCATCTTCAATTAAAATTAACGAATAGGGAACCTGATTATAATCATTTGCCATCATCTCAACATAAACAAATTCATCCATCCCACTGATGCTTTCGTTAATGTTATTATTATTACATTTATTTATTATACTTTATTATTATCCATTTTATTTTATTATTATTATTTTGTTTTTGTAGTAAAAAGAACTAATATAATATTTATTTTTTGGTTGATGCTAAAAGAACATTTTTTTTAACGAGGGGTACTAGATGTTTTGATAATTACAACAGGGGTACATATATGCTGAAAGTTTGGGAAACACTGTTCTAGAGAAAAGTTGGAAGAATTGTTTTGTGGTCTGAAGAAATTGAGTAAAACTTATCACTTAACTGCGTGAGCACGGGAAATTTGTGAAAGGTAAGATAGCTCGGATAATGAGAAGAATGGCAGTGATCGCATCCAAGGATTGGGGAGTAATTGGTAGAATGAAAAAAATATGATGCATGCATTATTGTATGACACCGAAATCTGAGGTGAGAGGTCCAGAGATAGCAGGAATGTGAAAGAATTAAACTTATCACAGAAACCCTTCCTATTGTGGGAGACGGGAGCCTTTCTGATGCTCTACAAAAAGTGTGCGGGGTGGCACCGCTATATCTGGCAGAGGAGATGCATGCGGAGCCATGGTGTTACTGCGAAGTGGATGGTGAGGAAGTAGAAGTGAGAAAGAAGGTTATGGAAATGTATACGGATGCGACAAAGGGGAAGGAAGATGTTTTTGCAGCATTTATAATAATGTCCGATTAAAATGTGTTATGAGAACGTAGAGTTAGGATCGTGGAAACGGCGACGATAATTCTATTGATAGCAACCTGAGCTAGTATCAATAGAATTAGGGATGGAATGGAGACGAGGTGATGATAAGCACCAGAAGAGATCAGTGATCTAAACCTAGTTCTAGCGAGCGGAAAAGATATGTGATAAAAAGAATTTAAAGAAAGAAGAAGGATTTCTAAAAGATGTACGCCAAAAGAACGGCTACACTCTAAGGGATATCTAGCGAGCCGCCAAGCAACGCAAGCACAAAGAAGACACGGTAAATGTCAGTCGGTTTGAGTTGCCTACCTTATGTTGCAAGTGTGATGGAGCGGATTGTAAGATCTCTTATCAATTTTGTCACAATGAACATGGCTTCCGAAAAGTCAACCACTTTTTTCAAAAGACGCACGACTAATTCGAAAGTTTCTAGTTCTAGTGTTATTTCTAATGATAGTGGTTTTAGTTCAAATAATTAGATTTATTCGTAATATCTTAAAATCAAACATAATATTGAACTGTTCTTTTTTGTGTTAGGCGAGTGATATATCGACAGCTATATATAATTTGAATTGGTACGAAGCGGATGTATCAACACGGAAAGATATTTTGATTTTACTTTGCATTAGTCAGAAGAATCTCGCTTTAGAATTACCTTTGTTTGGTAAAATGTCACATACAGCAGCAGCAAAGGTGGGTAATTTTGCGTAGTTTTTAGATTTTAACCTGAATGATATTTTTTTAGGAATACAAGAGAACTTATGTTTTTTTTAATTGGATAACAAATGTTATGAGAAAAAGAACTATTTAAATATGTTATTAATACCAACCACCAACTTTAATACGAATCGATATGGAACCACTGTAATTTTCACTTGAAAATTGAAAATTAATGGATTTTGGAAGCAACAATAATCTTAATTAAAATTAAGTCTAATTTAACACTAATACTATAAAATTTTACTGTCAATGTATTGCACATACTTTTATTGTAATAAACTTTAAGGAGAAAATTTTGGCATTGCTTAAGATATTATTAATATTAATTGCGGCGGAGATTATTAACATTACTGATACATAGACTAGTGTACCAGTTGTAATTAATTATGTAGTGAGTCACATCACTGCATATAATTTAAATAATTTAGAAGGTAGTAATTTAAAAAGACATTTTTTTGATATATTACCTTTTTTGTTATTGTTTATATTTCTAATAACAACTGTCTAAAAATGTTTTGACAAAATTGCAATATCTAAATTACTACAACCAGAAGACTTTTTCCGTCATCTCCTCGTAGTCTTTATAACATACAAGTTAGGCAACTTCTTTTCTTCTTGAGGTGCGATATGATTTAGTAGTATTAATTATGATTTTGTTGGGAGCAGCTCGAAACTGAGAATTTACCATACCAAGTTCAAAGATTCCGCAGCCACGACATTCTTCTTCTGCCGAGTACTCTTTTTCCTTTTACTTCTCTTGCATTATACAAGAGGCTGTTTCTAAATTGATGCGAAAGATTTCAAGGAATGATTTTTCAGCAAAAATTAAGAGGTGTCTTTCATGTTATTAAAATTATGCGTGATATGTTTTAACAGTTTAACAAACCTTTTATTATCTTTATATTTTGACAATTAATAATAACAACATTCACTTGTTTTATATTATATGTAACTACTCGTAAAACATTAACGCACTCTTGATTGCTTTAATTGCTTGATTGGGATTGCTTTATGATATAACATTTCAACACTCCCCCTCAAGGCCAATCATAGTTATAAACTTTTCTAATTTTGGTTTTGGTAACGGCTTTGTTAGCACGTTGGCAATCATTTCTTCTGTTTGACAATATTTTAAATTGATAACGTTATCTTCCAAAGTTTTTCTTATGAAATGATATTTTATATCTATGTGTTTAGTCTTACTATGATAAACGTTGTTTTTTGCCAACTTTTGACAACTTTGATTATCATTGTAAAGGACGATTGGTTTTTTTGAATTGAATTTTAATTCCGATAAGAATTTTTTCTCATACAGTGCTTCTTTAGCTGCTTCAGTAAGGCTCATGTATTCGGCTTCTGTGCTTGATAAAGCAACAGTCCTTTGTTTTTTAGTTTCCCACGAGATTGCTGCGTTTGCCATTTTAAACAGATAACCAGTATAGGAGCGCCGATCATCTATAGATGATCCCCAATCTGCATCTGCATAACATTCCATTTCTTTCCCTGACGTTCTATAAGTTAGTTCCAAATTTATTGTTCCTTTTAAATACCTTAACACTCTTTTTGCGGCAATCCAATGACTCTCGTTGTAATTTGTGTTAAATTGACTTAAGAAGTTAACGCTAAATGTAATATCTGGTCTTGTACCAATTGATGCATACATTAAACTTCCGATCAGATTTTGATATGGATACTTTTTCATTATTTCTTCGTTTTTTACTTCAGGTTTTTGTAATTTTGCATTTGGGTCCATTGGTGTACTGACTGGTTTTGAGTTTTCCATACCAAATCGCTGTAGAATATCTTTTATATACTTCTTTTGTGAAATTTTGATCGTTGTCTCCCCGTCTTGAACTTTGCTTTCATCTTTTATTAAATTTGCTTCTTCTTTTTCAATAAAGTATAAGTCTCCTTTTCTATCTGCTATTCCTAGTACATTTCTGTTTCTTTTATTAATTATAAATGCTCTATTTTTTGTAAATTTAACATCATATCCATGATCTGTAATTTTAGCTACAGATAATAAATTCGTGCGCAAACTTGGTACATATAATGTGTTTTCGAGTCGGACTTGATCTATTGAAAAATTATTCTTTAGATTTATTTTTATTGTGCCAATTCCTTCAACGGACGT